GTCGAAATTTTTGTGTGTAATATCAGCTACTTGGCTGATATTAGGAGCTATGTAAAACATAGCAAAGTTGTACATACGTCGTAGTTTGTACGTCTACGGATCAAAATGTTTAATTTTATTTCCATATGCATAGTTACTATCATATATCAAAAAAAAAACATCAGAGTATTGTATATTTATTATCAAATGTAAATTTACAAATAAAGTTAATGTGTTAAGTAATAGCTCTATATCATTTATATCACCATGAAGATATGGGTTAATGTTTTGATTCTGATGCCATTTATGTCTATGTCCTCTGGAAAAATGATCACAAGACTCTTAAATTTAGCAGGTTGTTTGTTTTCAATCGCATTCAAGTTGTATATCGAAAGTTGAACACGGAAACTGCTTATTAGATTATAAAATTTGTATTTTTAATTGTTTCATTGGTTCAAAATTTAACACAAATTTTGATTAGCATATTACCCCCTTGAACATATATGTAACACTATACCTGAAAATGTCTCCGCTTACACCATACAGAGGTAGTTAGATAGTCTCCAAATATATGCATTGCTTTACATGAACGAGTTGTTAGTTTACATTCACCATTAAAAGGAAGACTGATACCAGTCGGCGGTGACGAAGTTTTATAAGAGCAATCTTCACCCAAATGTCCGTTATCACAATTGCAAACCCCTAAAATTGAGAGCGCAAAACACTATTGATTACAACTGCTCAATGAACCAGCGGAAGTTGAAAAATTAAAGAGATTTGATAAAGTTTTTAAAATACTTTAATATTATTGAACAAATTTTGTGAACTAATTACACATATATATATATATATTACTAGTTATACATCGAATCGTAATGTTGATCTTACAGAGCTTATAAGGAAACATAGAAGTATAACTTATACATTAAACGCTTTATTTAATTATTTCAACGAAAAATATATTTTACCTGATTTACAAATTCCGTTATCACTGCAGTTGTTTAGACATCATGCACTAGCATAATATTCTAACATCGTTTGTGATCCATCGCTAGATTTTTGGGTGTACAGAGATTCAGTCTTTACTAGCTCTGCCATAATGCTCGTTACCATGGTATTGACTGTGTCTGTAAGAAACGTTGTGTCGCCTGCAACCTAAAGGTATTACAACAAAATGCTGCCTTAAAATTAACAAGATTTCAACCAAATTATTAAGAGATATTTTACCTATGCATGTTTTAGTAAATACCATATCAATGAGCCTGAAATATGTGTTTCTAACATGAAACAAACAAAGGCTGAAAACAATCGAACATAATTAGTTATTAGTTTATTCTCAAGTAAAGCTCAATGAAGATTCATATTTTCCTACAGATATTTATCCACTAAAGTCAAATTTAAGCAGATTCTAACAACTACAGATCACTGTGCAACCTTACTCAATGAGCAAAACCAATATCATGTAGTCAGCTGTAAGAGGCCTCGACATAAACAAATGTGGAATAGTTTAAATAAAACTTAATGATTTATGGAAAACAATACAGGAGAAAAATATGACAAACAGAAATAAACGACTAAGACTAGATAATTATGTAAGTAATTCCACTTGGAGGATTTTTTTAATGAGGTCGAGTAAATCTAACACTATCTGTATAAAAAGGGGATCGGAAATGGCTGCTGAACATTATAGCTGATTTTAAAGTGTTATGTTTTCATTACGAATCATTTGAAATAAAATCATTTTATTAACAATTTGTATTGCAGTCCTTTGAATCTGTACGGCTACTTTTCAGAAAATTTTCTACATGTATCAATTAATGTTTTGCGCGAATTAAGAAAGATATTAAACGCAAGGTGTGTCGAACAAAACAGAGTTTGTAATAGTAAATATTGTCTGATTATTTTCTATAAAAAACTTTTCAAATCCATTCTAGGTTTCAATGCAAAAGTTTATCCTTCTGATAAGAAAAGGTTTTGGATATTTCGTATCCCCGTTCTTAGATAATGAAAAACGTTATACTTCTATATCCTTTACACACGCTTCTATGAACTTTTCGACAGGTACATCAACATAATCCTTGTACATATCATTTTGTAACGCGTCGTTTATGCTGTTGAAACATATGTTATATGCTCTGTCAGACGTCCAACTATTTCGAAAGGTTGCTGGTGGCTGTAAAAGAAAAAAGTATACATATAAGCAATGTAATGTTGTTGTTTCTAATGTGGTGAAATGTGTTTTCTTACTTTGAATCTAAACATTTCCAAACATTTCTTAAACAACCGGTTTAATACAGAGGGAAAATTTCTTAACTTTCTAGGTATAATTTATCATAGATTTATTATTTCTTCTATATAGTTTTATCATAGAAATGCAAAAAGGCGCAGTCTGAGATTGAAATTATCTTAATCTCTGTCTCATTTACGTCAGCACTGTATGTTAACGGCTGGAAATCTACCACATCATCATCATTACTTAAACTGCGTTTACTTATTTTATGAGGAAAATTTACGGATCGTCTTCTCCGCAGGGGCTGAAAGCATGAATCGTATTGAACATATGAACCGGATGAACTTGATGAGTCTGAACATTGCTCACTGCTGTCTGTTAAATTACAATTTACACTGTTAAAGTCATCTAGCGAGTCCGTACTCCCAGTTTGTTGGTCACATGAACAAAATGTTTCTAAATTAGGTTTATTTTTATTGTTGTCAACAATAACAATCGATTCATACGCATCGTTGATTTTTTTTTTTAAATTCCGGTTCCTCAACAAAAAATATGTACAAAAAGAAGCAAATATTATCATTAGTATCAATTGTAATTTTAGTAATTAATTATTGACAACAATAAACTTATACGAGTGTAGTAACGTAATCTATACGCGAATATTCCATATCAGATCTGAATTCAACTTTTTCCATGATACAAACATGGTCGTGAATTATTCTTTATTCTTAATTTGAAATACACAACATGCACAATGAGTGCCCTTGCTCTTGATTTTATTGTGAATTCCTCATTTGAATTATTGCTTTTAGAAGTTGTTTACTTAGACACTTCAGGGTATTTGATTTGATAACGCTTCATTGTAGAATAGACAGATAATGATTTGCAAAGGATTTCTATATTGTTGTTACTCAGCACATGCATTGCCTCACCTTCTTAGGTTTCATAGCTTAAATAAGACTCAAAAGCTTTTCTTGGCATTTGCTACTACCAATTTGCTCTAATTATAGTACACTATTGTAGTTTCCGGGAATGAATAGCTCTTTCTTGCCTGAATTTTTCTCCGAAGTGCAACCGCTGGTAAGTTTTATTTATATTTACATCACTTTTCTTCACTCGCGGTACCGGTGATGTAGAGTCTAAGATATTGTGTAGACTTTTATCTGTAGTTTGAGACCGACTTCTACACTTTAACGTGTTTTTCTTACTGTATTGCTGTCCGTTTATATCTATCCCACACTCTATAATTCACTCGGCTGTAGGCTATATCTTTTCTAGAATTTTTATAATAACTTAAGTTTGTTCTTTCAAATGCAGTAAATTTCAAAGCATAAACATAGAAATGATTTTTTTTTCCAAAAGACAAATACCTCCAGGAATCTTCAAAGATTTGGTCATCACTGATTGGTCAATTTTCACGGTGGGTGAAGTCATCTGATGGATCTTTTGCTGTATTGCTCCACACAGACCTTTTGCTGTATTAATATCTTTTACAGATTGTTTTATCGAAATCACACTTATAAATCGCCTCGCTACGGAAAATTGTATTTCTGTTGCAATTCGCAATACAATCTACATTGTAAATTGAAAAATGTTTGATTAGCGAAATAGTGCAAATATAGTTTATATAAAGAATACTTAACGTCACTATATACAAATACAGTGATTTTCCTTTTCTTAGACACTATTGATTGATTCAAATACAAAATTAAATATAACGATCGAAAGATCAGAGTGAAAAATATACCCAGATGAAAAGTTAATATCTGTTCGTAATTCATTTTACCAAATCATTCATATATGAATGTATACATGGACTGGAGTTTACAGCTTTATCTGCTTAACTGTCATAGCTAAATCAATCCGTGTAAATGTAATTCAGATGTCACAGATTAAATATGTGATAACTGAGAAATATATATGTATGAATGGGAATATTCTTTAAACCCTTGCAATGATTTGTGCCCGAACCTTTAAGTGGGACACTCCTCTGTGTCAATACAATCAAACAAAAATAATAATATGAGACGCTCTTTTATGCAATGCTTGTTTTCGAATATGTGTGTGGACGCGCACCTCATTTCCGTTTGTAGCAAATAGAAGGCACCTTAACTATAGGATAGCACACGCGACAAGATCGCTATGAATGAATACACTTACTATAAAAGTAACATACACGTGTAGCTTCTGAAGTACATTTACATTTAAAAAGGATCCACGTATATATGCATTACTATAATAATTGCATAAGCTTAAGGTCAATTCAGATGTTTTACAGCCTAAGTATTGTCTACTATGCATCAATCACTTATATCCAGTTGTAAAAGAGAGGCCAAAGATACCAAAATGGAAAGTCAAATCATAAATCAAAATCGAACTGACAATGCCATGATAAAAATAAAAAACGACTAAGGACAAACAACGGTCTACAAAACACAACTTGGGGGTGGTCTCAGGTGTTTCTAAATGGTAAGTAGAACCTGCTCCACATTAAGCACCCTTCGTGTTGTTCATGTAAGTACATATTCGGTGATAAGTCTAATTCGGTAGGTCACATTCGAGGATAAGATAGTGTAAACGACAATTGGAACATATTCGTCGTCATCTGTGAACCAGATATTCCTTGACGATCAATCAACTGATGATGGCGACCGTTTACTTTTTTGATGAGGAGACTCCCACTTCACCACGTAGAACGCTTGCCTCACTAGCTTCCTTGTAAGCAGGAACCATCTATGAAGAAACTCTTTTAAATTTTATAAGACGAAAAAGAAACCATAATAACCTTTTAATTATTATTGGTGTTAATGATTGACATATCATTTTTATCACAAGACGTCAGTGTGATAACAGGTTGTTTGAGCAAATATTTTTCACTCCTTGAAATCTTCTTACATGTACGTAGAACGAACAACGAATCTTTGCTCCGTATTGCTATTCCACAAAGGCATGAAGTACCGGGTAAAACGGACCCACAACTTGTAAATAATGCATGTACCTGAAATGTTTAAAAAATGTGTATCACAATGGAAAAAAACTTTATGGGGGTATTTAACAACATCATGTTTTGTTGTTATTAATTTATTATCAAAACAAAAACTAATATACATTCAATGTTTAATTGAGGAACAAATACTTGCTTGATGTATTCTAAGAAAAAAAATATTAGCACCTATAATTATTTGCTTTCCCTTCCGGAGCACCTGAGATCACCCTCAATTTTTGGTTGGGTTTGCATTTCTGTGTTGTGTTTTGTGTATTGCTGTTTGTATGTTGGTCTGTTTCCTTTTTTAGCCATGGCGGTGTCAGTTTATTTTCGACTTATGAGTTTGAATGTCCCTTTGGAATCCGTCGCCTCTTTCTCTTCTGTTGCAGAATGAAATACAACAAGGCTTCTATTACTATTTTTTTTCTTAAGAATTTAAAGCTTTTAGACTGATTAACTTGGAAAAAGGATTGGGTACAAAATCGACGTCACAATTAAGGCTTTTCTTCATGTTTTTCGTGCAAAATAGATATAGTTTTTGTCACATTTCAGAATTTGATATCCTTTCACCATCAAATCTCCGAAAATATTCATTAATTTTTAAATATCACAACCAAATAACACATATTTAGCCATTATCTGTAATCCGGAATCTCCTGGTTTAAAAACAAATTTAAGCCAAAAAAGGCATTGTTCATGTTGGTGCATCTATTTAGAACATAGCTCGTCTTGTAGAAAATTCTCCCTTAAAAAAGCACACACACACACACACACACACACACACAAATATATATATACTTATGATGCTAATTAGACAACTCTTCATTAGAGTTTGAATGACGTGGATATGAGCAACTATATATCTGCCGTATGGATTTCGACAATGATTAAAGCTCATACCGCATAGTCAACTGTTAAACGCACCGACATGACACTATGTTAACAAAAACCAAACGACAAAACAAACGGCATGATGAACGACCAAACAATTCACGAAATCAAATATGATAGTCTGCAACCAACGACAACAAATGAATGTTTTTGTACAGGTACAATAATAATATGGCGGCATTAAAGCTAAAAGTCTGCGAAATATTTTCTCTTTTTTTTAGGACACAATCGGTTACCACGGTTACATTACAGTTCATAGATTAGACGACTATTTTGGTATCTAAAGATCTAAGACTGCAGAAACATGTCGGTAGTAATTTAAGATACAAAACACATCGTAACGTTCAAACAGGCTAAAGAAATTGGCCCTACCTTTATTCAGTATTTCGTTTGTGTGGTAATTTCTTTTTCTTTTTAACTTTACAAATTTTGTCAACATACAGCATTTTTTTTTCAATAAAGATGGAGAAAAAACTGGTCTGGCGTCTGTATTTTTTCTGATGGAAAATACATTCCTTTTTGAAACAATGGCACTAATATTCCTGAACTTGTCCACAGGAAAATTAATTAATTTGTAATGGACATTAATTAAATTATAATTCTGAAGTTAAAGATAAACATCTATTTTAGTTCCTTTAATCAGCTTCTGTTTATTTGGTTTTGGTATTCTTTCATATTTTTTTTTCTGTGTGTAACATAACAATTGATTCAAATTTATGTCGTCTGGAATAATTAACATATTTTTATAAACTTAACAGAAAACTAATTGTTGGCGTTATATGGTTCAGAATTGCTCCTATATTTTGAGGAATGACATTGAGAATTGAAATGGGGAATGTGTCAAAGAGACCCGAACAAAGAGCGGAAAACAGCCGAAGGCCACCAATGGGTCTTCAACACAGTGAAAATCCCGCACCAGGAGGCGGGCTTCATCTGGACCCTAAACAAAAATGTGTACTAGTTCCGTGAAAATGGACGACACACTAAGGAAACGTATATAAATTGTTTACGTTGTCATAAAGATGATTTGGTCAATTTTAATCAGTACGATATAGCGCCTTCTTACATGATTGATTTGACTTTTGGTAAGTATACTAAACGATATTTTGGTGCATCTCACTAACCTTACACACGTTAAAGATACAGGACCGCAATTTATAGCTGGGAACACATTTAAGATTAACAGCCAACATCTAAAACTTTAACTTACAAATTGGTACTTATTTTGGTTTTTAAGAATTTTCCATAGAAAACAAAACCAAAAAGCATAAAACTTACCCTATAAGGACCAATGTCATTTTTGTACATTACAAATTCTCCGACTTACATGTAATCATAGTATTTTCCATCAAAGGTTCTAAAATGTGGATCATTGTACGATTGGCATAATCTGTTTTTCAAGACTGAATCTTTATCTACTACAGTTACCTAAAAAACAAAAGCGTTGCTTCACAATATACATAAAACTTGTAAATCAAAAGATGCGAAATACTCTGAGCCCTAAATGTCAATACATAATGCATTCTCATAGAGAATTCTTTATATAAAAAAAGGCTCGTATTGTTGCACATCTAAACATTACAATTATGTTTTAATTTTGTTTAAAGGGAGATCACAGCAACACAATGATATCAAAAACAAAATGTTTCTTTCCTTTTTTGTAGAAAAAAAGGGAAACCCTGACTTTTGTAAGGATTAACTAAATTCGTTCTTTTTCAATCATTTCTTAAAATTGAATAAAAGGTAAAATAGCAAAAATACCGACCTCCAAGGAAAATTCAAAAACGGAAAGTCCGTTATCAAATGGCAAAACCAAAAGCTCAAACACATCAAACGAATGGAAAACTAATATTCTTCTCCAATTTTTTTGGCAATTTAATCCTTTCTGAACCCATTGCTTAAAAAAATAATAATCAACGTGTGGTTATAGATTATCTCATTAGATGATTGAATAATTGAAAAGGTCAAAACCTTTATCAGCTCCCTGCAGGATGATGCTAACACGTATTCGAGAAATCGACAACTGCATAAAAACTTCTACTTCGCTGAATTGGTTCCACCTTAAAAAAATATTGTTCAATTTGTTTACTTAATATGAGTTCACATTTTTTTACAATACTATAAGCTTAAATAAAGTTTATCTTTTATTACGGTGTGCTTGCATTTGATTTCTGAGATACATACATGAAGTGTTTACGCATCAATTTTGTAGGAGTACTACGAAGAAATTGAGATAAGGAATGTGGAGGTACTCGAGAGGGAATTTGGTAAATTTATTTGATAATCAATCGAGAAGCAGATTCTTATATAGTTACTTTTGGATTAATATTGATTTCTGTCATATCGATAGTTTAATTGTTGAATTCTAAAGTTCTGGATTAGATAAATCTGATAATCAACCAATAGCAATGTTAGCATATATGTGTATATCGCTTTAAGGGTTTATTTTGTTTGGCCTTTGCCTACTGTTTTGGACTTATTATCGGTGTGAAACGTTGCAGTTGCAGTCAAAACCTTGTGACGACATATGCTGATTTATGCATTTTGGACCGATAATCAGCATAAGTTTATGAGCAACACACATATGATATATAGTGGAAAAGAATAACGTTCGTACTGATTCAGTTTTTTTTCACCCTTGCTCTGTAAATACACATGGTATATTTTTATCACTTGCCGTGTCGACGCTCCAGGTATTGCTCTTTTTGGAGAAGCCCTCGGCTTCTTGTTGTGTCCCTGGTCTTATTTTTTGTCCATTTATGAAGTTTTAACAATGGTTAATTATTTTTATCAAGGGACTGTTTGTTTCAATTCGTTTAAACAGTCTGTCAGTTTGTAAAAATGGAAGGGGGCCTACCAAAGGAGCAAATACAACATTAAGTAAAAAAACACTTTGGAAAAAAAAAGACATAATTATACAAACCAAAATTATATAGAAAAATAAATTTGAGAACCAAGAGCCCACAAAAAAAAACAAGGAGTAGAATGAGGTGATTTCTGTCCAAGGTAAGCAGTTTCTGCTCCAACAGTTTATTCGTTGCGTTGCTAAAAAAAATGAAAACATCCGGTGATAAATCACATTAAGTGATGTCATATGCGAAAAAAAGCGGAATTGTGATATGCAAAAATGAGATCAACCCTCTATCTAGGAGATGTTGTAAGCAGCAAACCTTTATCAAGGTATTATGGAACGTGTATTAATCACGAAGTGATTTCATATACAGATATGCATTGGTTGTATCAGTTGTTTTAGTTACAGGTCAAAATTATTAATCAGTTTGGATATAAGAATAAAGAAAACTATTGATGAAGCGCATACATTTCAAATACAACGAAACCGAGTGCGTCGACACCGTAAGCATCCCCTCTTGTGGATTTATCGTCCGCATCAAGACGTGGACATGCTAAGAGAATAGTACACAATAATGTCATCGATACTTGGTCCAAATTAGAGAATAGGACAAAATTAAACCCTCGGAACTTGGCCACATTTAAAGAATGGGACATAATCAATAGCTTTCAACATGTTTAAGTTTAAACTACAATTCTGATTTGTTCAGATTCAGACCATGAATCATATCATTTTCGCCAGTTGAGACATAAATACATCGTATCGTTACAATAAATGGCGAATGTTATCTCGATTTCATTTCTATAAGTATTTTATTGGGGTAATAACATAAATAGACTCATAACAGGTATATTGCTAAAATTACATTTGAATGGGATGTGTCATTCATAAAACATTGAAAACGTTCGTAGATATTGCCGTATTTTCAAATGCTACTAATAACCCGGGTCCTATTTGATGGGAAGACGTTTAAATAGCATTAAATGATAAGTACCGTTATTTGTTGTATATACACATCTTTCCAGATATTATTAGGTGTTGAAACAGATGACGGTGACAGTTTTAGAGAAGCATATCTATTGTTAACATTGTAGAGTCCATCATTGTATCCACACACCTGTAATATTCTCTTCTCCATCCAGTCAAGATGTCCCAATCTGATTCCACAGGACTCTGCTTTGAATACAATATCTCTTTTAACCATGTTATTTGTGCAAGTAGATTCTTGATAATTCGGTCGAAATATGTAAAAGTTCTGATCACAATGAGATCTAAAATCTGTATGTGATGAAATACACCCCACAGGAACAGTTGAGGTTAAGGTGATATTAAACGATTCCCCTTCATTTAATGTGTAATGATTTCTGTCCGGCTAAATTCAAACAAATCATTATTTCAAGATACAACGTATGATCAATTCAATGTAAAATTGTTATTTGATTGGAGATCCATTATGTACGGTTTTTGATCCTTATATTAAAGAAGTTTTTCAGATGAAGGTAAATCTAGAAAAAGGCTTCGGCGCATGCAAAAAGTAAAAACACAAAAATACTGAACTCCGAGGAAAATTCAAAAAGGAAAGTCCCTAATCAAATGGCAAAATCAAAAGTTCAAACACATCAAACGAATGGATAACAACTGTCATATTCCTGACTTGGTACAGGCATTTTCTTATGTAGAAAATGGTGGATTGAACCTGGTTTTATAGCTAGCTAAACCTCTCACTTGTATGACAGTCGCATCAAATTCCATTATATTGACAACGATGCGTGAACAAAACAAACAGACACAATAGGTAAAAATGTCAAAAATAGGGTTACAGCAGTCAACATTGTGTTATCATCTTTGTCACTATAAAAACAAACAAATGTAACGAAGAAGCACAAGAAGGCATACATCAAATTTAACATCCTCATTTAGCTTATACTATACGATTTTATTTATCTATGTAAAATCCACCCATAAAGTATGGAAGGTTTTAAGAACTGGCGTAAAATCACGAGTTTGAAATTCGCACAGGTAGACATAAAATAATTTTGTCGTTCAAAGTATGAAGAGATACATAAATACAGAGTCACGTAAAATGGATATCACAAAAAACAGACTTAACAGTAAAAGTAATATTAATAAAATAAAATAATTGTGTGGTTCAAATTATGACGGGATACATAAGTACAGAGTCACGTCAAATGTATATCACAAAAAAACAGACTTAACAGTAAAAGCAATATTAATAAATAAAATAATTTTGTCGTTCAAAGTATTATGGGATACATAAGCACAGTAAACTATGACGCGTTTTGTTTTCATTTTTGTTTTGCATTTTTTTTATACCTCTGCTGGTAGTCTCCGAGTGTATTATCAGCTCAGTATTTAGTCCTTTGATATTTTTTTTTACATTTTTGCCGATTATTTCTGTTTGTTTTGTTTACACATCTTTGTCAATATATTGGAATTTCATGCGACTGTCATACAATTAAGAGGTTTAGCTAGCTATAAAACCCGGTTTAATCCACCATTTTCCTCATAAGAAATTGCGTGTACCAAGTCAGGAATATAACAATTGTTATCCATTCGTTTAATAAGTTTGAGCTTTTGATTTTGCCCTTTGATTACGGACTTTCCGTTTTGTATTTTCCTCTGAGTTCGGTATTTTTTATTTCACTTTTTGGTACTAACATGATTTCTAAATATTGTTTGTTTACAGATTTTGAAATTATAAAGAAACCAAAGTATCAACCGGTTCAGGCTTAGTTGACCTTAGACGGATTTGGGTATGCTTAGGCCAGGTTTTGTTATATAACTCTTCAACTGTTTCCGTTCTTATATATCCTTGGCTTTGAAATTTTTGGCTTTGAGCGTTCCTTATGAAGTTAATCCAGAAAAGCGCATCGAAGGTTATATCAGTTACTTAATTTCCCTTTTTAACATAAAGCATGGTTAAAAGAATCAAATGTCCTTGGATTTTTATATAATCAATTTTCATGATTGATGTTGGTTAAACATATAATTAATGTTTTTCTTATTAAGAAAGTAAAGAAGAGAAGTACACATTTTAAAAATTAATTGACAACTCTGTCAACATTACGAGTAAATTGTATGCTTTCTGTGATACCATTTTTTATGTAAAAAGAGGTCAAATATGAACACATATGTTGAAAATGGTAACAGTAGTTTCATTTTCTTATATAGCATGTCAATTATAATCTAGTTTGCCAAATCAGGGTGACCATACACATTCAGATCTTAGATAAATATTTATAGAACTTTTCGTGATGATCAGATAACTTTGCTTACATACAGTCCAGCGTGAAAGACAGGACTATATACATATGGCCCTGGTGTTGACTCTTTTGAATTTCTCAGTCTGATAGCACATTTCACCTGCAAATAGAAAATATTCGAAATGATCAGCAAACTAACTGGTTATTTGTTCAAATACTTTTTGTTCTGTTTTGTCAAAACATAATTGACCTCTATTCAAAACTTTTTAACTGATTTCAAAAAGTTTATTTAACTCCTGCACTCGAAACGTAGTTGTTTAAACAAAAGAAAAAAGAAGCAATTGTAGGAAAATATCATGAAAAAAATATGTGTTAGCCTTCTCCGAAAGAATTATCTATCCGTGCATTTTTCAACGATTTTGAATTAAAGATTTGCAACTCCTCCTTTTAAATACTATTAAAATCTTAAATATTAATAATCATTTTTATGAGTTGTATGAGTAAAACCAACATCTTGATATCGATTTATTTCATAATTTACTTTGAGTATTTTACATTTTGCATCATACATTTTGAAACAACCCAGTACTGTTTCATGATATCAAACCCTACTACAAGATTTGCCATACCTAACCAAATGACTGCACAATTTTTTAATCTATCTTAACACCAGCGTGCGCTCTGTGAAAAAAAACTATATAAAACGAATAATCTGTTATTTTCTGTTTCTCGATCGTCTGTGAACAACCTTAAAATTTACAGAAACAAACAGTCATACCTGCATGTTCATCCAGTATTTACCATGCCAATCCATTTCTTTTAGAACTATGGCATCAGTGATGTCTTTGAACAACAAGTTGTTGTTGTTCTTAATAACATTTCCACATATCAGCCAGTTAACGTCGTAGGCATATGATCTGTTGGATTGGTCTTCAAATACGCATTTAAAAATTGGAATTAAACTTGGCGTTGGATCAAAGTTAGGTATTGGAAAAATTTCACCTTCTGTTAAAAGAGCTTTAACTTCCACGGATACGCTGTCCGTTGGAAAATTAGCTAAAATTATAAACATGCATGAATTCAAATACAAAGGGCGACAACAAATATCATCGATTTAATCTTCTTGTGGTCTATAAATAACGTTATTTCATATAAAAAATATTCAAAAACAGTTGTGTGTTTATATTCTTTATATATTTTGTTATTGAGAATTTTAAACTCCTCAAAGACACCAGACTTATGAAGTAGGTTGCCAGTGAGCGTTTTGTCTGAACAAGGTTAAGCAGCTGAGCTCGATAAAGTTTTTAAATTAAATATTTAAATTTATGTTTAAATTATCAGCAAATATATAAAATTCAGCATGTGTCAGAAACATTTGAAAACCCATCGTGAAAACACCAATGACATATTTCTCATTTTGTAAACTGACGTGATTTTTAGCACTTTATTCTTATTTAAAAGATTCATATATTCTCAATAAACCAAATCCCTCGGACAAAGTTGATCTTATATGAATACGGCTTTTTAAGGTAAAGTGTATTAGAAACTGGTCTACCTAAAAAGTATACAACACCTGCCTCACATTCAAACTTGACGATCTATTCACTATGAAGGTGCCTTAGGAAGACATAATATGATAGAAAAGACAAATTTGGAGTTGACAACAAACGGAACAAGCTCGAGCTTGTAAGTAGAACCCAAGCAATACAAGGAAATTCTGTTGAAATATGCATCATTTTTCGTGCTGTTATCCCCTTATTGTATTGTAAAACTTTAACAATGTTGTATTCATTATTTTAATAATAACAGTTACAGTTTAACTTGACTTGGTTTTGAAAATGTATGTTAGAAATGTCAAAACAAAGTTCAAATGAGGTGGATATGAGCAACTAGTTTGTTCGAAACAAAATTTATCTGATCATAAAGATATGCATAACTTACAACTACAACCTGGATAATATTCCGTTTCTGAAGACATACTAGCGGGACAGTGCACCGGTCCACTTCCTAGAGAGAGAGAGAGTTAAATCATATTAATTTTTTTCTGTTGATAAACAATGATTTATCAAGAATAATTGATACATCACTACTTAAAGTTCAGCAGGAAACAGTAGATACAGGTTCGTAACGATTCCATGTTAAAGAGAAATAAACATACCCTTCGTATCACATGATTAAGACAGACAGTTAAGACGGATGTTTCATTTGTCAGCTCACAAGGTAGTTGTACGCAGCAAGAAACTATATCACTTCCTTAGAGTAAAAACAGCACAAAGAAAAGTTATGGCTGAGGTTTGACTAATCAATTGATCGAACTTATGACCTCCCAAGACTACACTAAGGTTTGGATCTATTCAAATAATTACTTAAAATGCAAAAAAAATTATGCTGTAGTTAAATTTAACTATGACAAATTTTACTCTTATATTATATAGAAAAAACAAAGAATTGGGAAAATTAAAATGCATCTGTTAAAATGGTCGTGCAGTGTAGTGTAGTGAAGTGTAGTGTTGTGTTTTTTTTTTTTTTTTTTTTTTTTTTTTTTTTTTTTTTTTTTTGTTTTTTGTTTTTTTTTGTTTCTATAAAAATAAATTGAAAAAAGACGAAATTTAATTGAATGTAAAAAAAAAGAGGCTAAAGGTAAATCGAAGTTTATCCTGTCGTAAATTAGGAAAAGAGGACACAAAAATGGTGGAAATGAAATAACGTTTAACAAAAAACGGTACAAAATTAAAAATATATGAAAACCAGTTTCCAGCAGTGAGTGGTTTAACCATTTATTATTGTTATTGTTATTGGTGTTCTTTGTCTGTACAATTGCTGACATGTCTTTTACGACACATAAACAGTAAAGACCCTTTAGTAAATAAAAGACGGTCTCTAGATTCGGCTCTCAGATTTTTACCAAATTGAATGTTCGCAACACATAGACGATAAGTTTTCCATTATCAAGTTAATTGTTACATGTATATTTAACTTCCTGCAATGACTTTACTATAACAAATTAAATTAAAAGACAAGTATTTCATTTTTTTCATATTTTGTTTGCCCTGCCGTAAAACAAATACATTACCGAAACAATAAGATGAATTAGTTGGTGTTGGTCGTAGATAATATACGTTATACCCATCACAGTTCCTTATAACAATATGAACAGACTCTTCACAAACACTTTGATTTGTCTGCATGCAGGCTTCTATAGTCTTATTTCCGTCCACAAAATTTGGCAAAGTCCCTGCAAAACCGTCAATTATGTATACATGACCCTAACCTAGATATTATTGTTAGGTAAAATTATTACACAAGTAAAACAGGACTTTAAAAAACAGGACTTAAAAAAATGAAAAATCTGTCAACTTTACATGACTGTGGATTAAAATAAAGTATTCTAAATATTGTGCTCTCATTGTATAAGTTTGGTACTTATCGATATGGTCTGATAAGACAAAAACAAAAAAAACAAAGGATGGGCATGCAAAAGTTTTAATTTTGATTGTTGGTAAACATTCTTTTGTAAGTTACCTTCTCATTTTCTTCAATTTGTGACAGCAAAATTATAGTTTTTTAATGAAAAGCTGATTCATTTTGGAAGGGATTTAACTGTCTATATTTCAATTGAATAAAAAACCTTATACCTTATTTAAAAATGTCGCCGTCTTAACCAAAACATGTTTTTTTTTTAATCAATCTTGCATTTAATTGTAAAATAATTTCGTTTTGTACCATTCAACCAAAAAGGATTCATTGTTCCACAATACTTTGTTCCAGGCTGTGTGGTAGGCATATCATCACCATTATCACTGTAAATTCTATACCAGCCTTCAACTAACATGTCGTCACTTAATGGTTCTTCTGATGTCCAATCAGCAAAAAATCCAGTTGAACGTTTTGCTGCATTCTCAAATCTTGTGCACGTAACACACGGGTCCTTTAAAACTAAAAGGATATAATGTATATTGCAGTATTGTTATAAATTACTAGTAATCTATATTAAAAAAGAAACATGCTTTCAAGTCAATCAAATCAAACATTTATTTAAAGAGTGAAATTCTGAATAGTGTGGGAATGGAATTTCGATTCCACTTAGATTTGAAAAGCGTATTCAGAGGTTTCTTACATACATTTTATCTAGTTTCCAGAAAATCGTTCATTGTGATGCATTGCCAGTGTCTACTGAATGTTAAATATTGGCACTAATAAAACTTGTACTTTATTAACACTATGTTTTATCATCAATGGTTATGTTTGGTAAATAACATGCTAATGCATTTTATTTCATTTAAATGTCTGATTTGGTTTAACAAGAAACTTCTTTATCACCAGAAATGCATACATGTAAAAGTACAATACCACAAAAAATATATTTATGTACTTTCAATTCTTGAACTTCATGAATATAGTAAACTATTAATGCTTGTTTCAATTAACAATTCAATAAATAAACACGAATTAATTATCCGAAAAGTTAAACTTAATATACATATGTAAAGCCCATGGACTGAAGACCTATATTGTGAAGGGTTTCATTATATCCTTCCCCTTCGTTAAATCACTTCCTAATATAAAATATAGCTTGTAGTATTCCTTAAGCTATGCTCCATAGTTTTTGGTTAAATACTGACACATAAAGTAATTATCGATAAATGATAAACAGCAGGAAACTCATGGTAAAACAAGAATAGGTTTTAATATTTTTTTGTTGTCATTCTTTTCATTTCTCTCCTTATAAACGACTTATTCTGATTTTCTGATTAAAATATGCTTTGTTTATCTAAAAAAACATAAAATCCAGCATATACTAGTTGTATGTGGAGATTTCATGATGAAATTATCATAGCTTCATACGGAAACCAGCGTGAAAGCAGAGACGGGTGTGTAATGATTTCTATCTTTTTATTAACTTACTGCTTCCATGATACATCTTTACGTCGACTATAGTACTATGAACATAAGCCACATTTCTATAATTGATCCCTGTTTTTTCGACCTTCTTCACATATCTACTATTATAACTATTCTCTGTATAGAAGAGGTAGTCGCCTTGCACAGCGATTCCAAACAAGTAATAATATGACCTCTGATACACTGAGTACCCGTACGATTGTACTTCCTTTAGATCACTTCCGTCGAATGTGGCAGACCTTATTATGTGTCGTACTGTCCAATAAATTCTGCTTTCTTCAAAATCTTAAAAAGAAAATTGCATTAAAAAATAATTAATAATATCTTGTATTACTAAAGTATGAAAAATTCTGCAGTGTTCCGTTTTTCTGTGTAGCAAATATGATTTGTATTTTACATTGCATAATTATGCTCCTGAGAAAAAGTGTCTACTAAACATCTGCTCCGGAAGGATTTATGTATATACATTGAATGTAATAAAGATGTAGTATTTCCGTTCTTTTAAAATGAAAGTAGACAACTGTCAAAGCAAATTCATATACAGGTAACATATTTCGGTTAAAAATGAAGGGCAGTTAAATATCTTGAGCAAATACTAGAAAAATGTCAGTTTTGACAATGATTTATACGGCATAGTGACAGACTCACTGAAAATAATAGACACTTTCAGTTGTTCTCGCTAAGGCATATGAGAGAAGCGATTACAAACATCTCAAGATGGAAAACGCTAAAACTGATGAATGGAAATTTCGCGTCCAATTGGTTAAGCTCACATACTAGAGTAAAAAAAACACATAAACTATAGGGTGTAATTTTATATAAATAAATATTTTTTTGACAAAGTTGTATTCCTTTGATAAATGTTCCATCACTGTATTGGATACCTAAACGACATAAGTGTCCTTACAAAAAAACTTGATATTGCTTGGTCTTCCAAGTGCTCCTTGAAACCTCTTTCTAAATTATTAACATCAATTTTATCAAAACCGGGCTACCTATTCTAGAGGTGGCGTGAATCAGCGTGAATTAGATGTGGATACTAAAACATTCCAAAGATCTTTCAGAGTAATACATTCTTTCATCTTGCAATAATATTAAAACGTTTGTCTTTTCTACACTTGACGCCAATATTCCCAATTCAAAACTAAAAGACAAATTGAAAGAGTTGGTCCTGTTTGTTTCATGAAAAAGAATGGCAAATGTAGATACAAGTATTTTGTCTTAGGGAGGGAAAAATCCTACTTTGTAAAAAATCACTATGATTCAAACAAGAAATTCTCTGAAATTGACTATATCAAGATAATTTTTACGTTTGGAGGACGTGTTTTTCAACAAACTATCGGCTTTACCATTGGAACCAACTATGCCCCTTTACTTGCCGTCTTGTTCCTTTATTCATATGAGGCTCACTTCATACAGGAACTTCTTAGGAAGAAAGAAAAGAAATTAGCAGTATTCTTTTACTTTACTTTCCGCTATAACGATGATGTTCTCACACTAAATAATTCAAAATTTGGTGACTATGTTGAATGCATCTATCCCATCGAGATTGAGATAAAGGATACAACAGATACAGTTGAGTCTGCGTCATATCTTGACTTACATCTAGAAATTAAGAATGAGGATCTGTTGAAAACAAAACTTTACGACAAATTGTGAACTTTCCATATCTATGTATCAACAATCCAGCAGCGCCTGCATACGGAGTTTATCTCCCAGTTGATACGATATTCCAGGGCTTTTATTTCCTATCATGATTTATGTGACAGAGGGTTGCTGCTCACAAAGAAGCTATTTAACCAAAAGTTCATAGTGATGAAATTCAAATCAATCCTTCGTAAATTTTACGGACGCCATCATGAGTTGGTTGACCGTTAATGAATATCTGTTTCACAGATGATAGCGGATATGTCACAAATATGGTATCTACAATCCCAACCCCTTTCCCAGAATGTGACCTACCGAATTAAACTTATTAGTGGTTTTGTACTATCATTAGCAACACGACGAGTGCCACATGTGGAGCATGATCTGTTTACCCTTCCGGAGCACCTAAGATCACTTCAAGTTTTTGGTGGGGTTCGTGTTGCTCAGTATTTAGTTTTCTATGTTGTGTTTTGTGCCCTATTGTTTGTCTGTTGGTCTTTTCTTTTTTTAGCCATGGCGTTGTCAGTTTATTTTCGACTTATGAGTTTGAATGTGTCTTCGGTATCCTTCGTCTATTTTTGAATGAAGGTCGTACAATGACTTAAAACTATTCACATTTGTGTTATTTAATATTTAGATTGTTGCATCACCGGTATGGATGATAGTGGTGTAATTGATATGCCCATAAATCTTATCTCATAATTTTATAATAGAATTTCCTTTATGACTGCCTTGGTCCATTTGGCACATTTTAATGCGTTTACTTTAACTATGCGTCATTTTGTCGCATATTTCATTTAGCATCCAAAACATTTGATATTGGGGGTCCCTGTATCCCAGGACCCACCAGACAAAAAATTAGGAATCTCTGTATCCCAGGATTCATTTTATTTTATTGGATGCTTCATTTATTGTAAATATTTAGTTATCTAGTTAGTTATCTAGTTATCTTTTTGTAGTGTGCCAATATGAAAGGCGACTACATTCATTTATCTATCTATCTAATTATCTATCTGCTATATATATATATATATATATATATATATATATATATATATATATAATAACTGTTTATCTAGTTATATGGATTTATATTTGTGTAGTTTGTAATAAAGCTTTGGCCAAATACTGATAAACTGTGTTTCTGATCTTTGCGCATCAATAATTAATAGAATTTATGATTCAGCATAAATTCGGTTATTAGTGTAAGCTATGTGTGTCATTGGCCGTTCTACTTTTTGTCTAATGTGGGTTATCACTTATCTGATTGATCACGCGCAGTATGACTGCGCATGCAATCTTTTCAATAGCTACATTCGACGGAAGCAGACGGATATATTTTGGTGATTTCAAAAACCCACCCACCCACCACTATTTGTTTCAACATTGCATACTATATTTGGACAAATTTTTGCTGTGTCTTGATATATTTTTTTCAGATTGTTCCTGCTACAATTAAAGGTGTGAGACGTCAACAAAATAGTCACTGTATATGGAGCGTATCAATTTAGTATCCACTGTGTACTTGTCTGTAGTCCGTAGTTTGCTGGTACCATCTCAACGTAATGTGCGTGTTCTGTTTCAAGACTATGCGTTTTAGATATATATAAATTGAGTAATCTGTACATTTCATCCGTATCACAAAAAAAAAACAAAAAAAACAATGCTTGCATACGCCCGCTTATATGAACATTTTGTACTGTATTAAGTTATGGGCACATTTCGCTGCGTAAATATTTAGTTATCTAGTTAGTTATCTAGTTATCTTTTTGTAGTGTGCCAATATGAAAGGCGACTACGTTCATTTATCTTTCTATCTAATTATCTATCTGCTATATATATATATATAAAAGACCAAAAAAGTGAAAAAGTATATTTTAACAAAACGCATTTGACTAACAGGTCGAACAACAAATGTTCTTAAACCCTGCTGACTGCCATTGGCGATTGCCAAATAAACGGATCACCGATGTAATAAATGGATCTTAATTAAAAATTTAATACTAAACAGAAAACAATAAACTTGCGGAAAAGATGATATACCGCAAACAAAAGGTGCAAAGGTTTTTGTACATCATATCCGGATTTCGACAATTAATGTCTCTTCAGTGATGTTAGGAATCGAAACGGTATTTGGAAAGCCATACAATTTACCTCAATTTAGGATAGACTCTTGAATTTTGAGGAGTCAAAATAGGATGAACGGATCATATAAACCCGAAGGCAAATATAATACAAGCCCAAACGGAAAAATATAAACAAGTCTAAATTGAAAACAACGTTCAAACCTAAGAAATTTGTTTTGCATGCACACGTATAAAAATTGCGGTTTTTATCCAACGCAATCATAGGTTTGAACGTTGTTTTCAATTTAGACTTGTATATATATATATATATATATATATATATATATATCTTAACTGTTTATCTAGTTATATGGATTTATAATTGTGTAGTTTGTAATAAAGCTGTGGCCAAATACTGCCAAACTTTGTTTCTGATCTTTGCGCATCAATAATAATAATAGGTTAAGAGGATCCATTGTGTGTGTACTATACAAATATGCACAGATGTAGTGTTTCAATTTATTTGTCATACAAAATTGCATGGTAAAATTAGCAATAAAAGGACTTGCGGTGACCTCTAGTTGTAAATTTCTATATCATTTAGTCTCTGGTTGTGAGTTGTTTCATTGGCAATCATACCACATCTTCTTATTTTTATATATATATATCAGTTGCACTGCAAATATTGATGACTTGATGGTTAAGTTGCAAGCTGGCAAGTTAAACAGTCTGATTAGATGAGACATTTTGCAATTGGAGTAGAATTATGAATGAACTATGATAGGTGGTTCGAAACACTAATGTTAAAGTCACTGTAATAAACAATTTTGTGTTTAACTTGTAGTAAATTTAAGTAGTAGAGAATTGATAAGAAGTAGTGGATTCGTAAACGATAATCAACGAGCGACTTTAGTCGCAAGTTGATTATCGTTTCCGAATCCACTACTTCTTATCAATTCTCTAGCTTAACCCATTTCTAGTAAAACGACGACTGTCTGTTGTATGTTTTGACAATGAATCAACGGAATTTCATAAAAATAATTTCGTATTTTGTCTTTTTTATTTTATAATAGCTGGAAATGATTATATCCACACGGTTCACGTCTATATTTAAGTTGACATAAGTTTAATATAACTTAAATGGGTTGTTAGCTCCCCTTTTTATTACCAGATTTCATACTTGTATATTTATATTTCATTTAATGCTTTATCATTACAAAGTATTTAAATTATATAGATTTTGGTATTTATGATTTATTCAAAAAGACATATATAAATATACAGAATTTATTTATCTTTTTTTGAATAGTTAAAAAATTGTAATTACCAAAATTTAGAAACTTTGAAATTTACATATATAGTATTTAGCAATCTGCTATTGTTGACAGCTGATTAAGGATTGTCTACAATTTAACCGTACTAAGTCAAATACATATATTTAGCGTAGTTGCCATAATACTACAATTTCATGATGCTCCAGTTAATGATGCTTTCCGAAATAAATAAAATCATTGCTTAAGGTCTTTTTTGAACAATTATACATGAATTTTGTTTAAACTGTTTCCCTTTCATTAAGTTTAGATTATTTTTAACGTTATTACATTTGGCATCCGTCGTAAACCAGTCAATAAACTAGTTTTATCTGTGGTACGCATTCTGAATCTCCAGCAGAATTGCTCTTGCTACAGATGTACAATGTATAATTATGTAATTTTTTTACTTTTACATTCAAGCTGTTCATAGCCGTGATCGTCTAGTCGTTGGTACCGAAAAACATAACTGTGACATTAACAGTGCCAAGTTCAAACCTTATACCCGAATTGAAATTTTTTCATTGTAATTTTTTTCTCGACAAAAATATTGTTTTAATCTTAGAGGTATTATATACTTCATTTTCATTTAAAGGCGATGATTTTGTTTCTGGTTTTACAATCAAAGAAGTAGTTTTACGGTCGTAGCTTATATATCACACTTTATTCAAATTAGAGTCCGTTCAATGTTGACGTGATGTATATTTGGACCATTTATAATCAAACAAAGAAAAAAATATTGATAGTACGATATCAATATAAGACTAAAACCATAGGTAAGTATTTGCTATGATAAAAAGGAAAAGTCCTTGTACGTTAAAAGTGACAAGTGTAATGGACATATGAATGTTTATTTTATCAAGGAATTGCACTAATATATACAATTCCTTGATTCTCTAGTGTTTAGAACTAGTGTGTAATAGCCACAATCGTATAAAGACCCATCGGTTCATTATAACGATGTTGAAAATCGACCAATGTTCAAACCTGACATCGTAAATAAACTCTGTTTTAAGATATTTCCATACTGCTATATAACTATAATCAAGAGCGTTCAAATGTAGAACATAATCTTCCTTAAAAAATAACGCCCAAAATAAAACAATTTAAATAAATTTGAAAAGAACATGAACAAATCCAGACATAGTATATATATTTTATTAGATAACAAAAGCGAATTATCTCTGAGACATACAGTTTATTGGCATGTATTGACAGTTGTGCGCTTGATGAGTGTTATTTAAATATTGATTTATGTCAGCACTCGTGGTATAGTGGTATCATGCATAGACTGAAGACTCTACTGATTATGAAGAAAATACGCGCGAGTTCGAACCCTTCTTATGCCACTCGTTTTTGAGAGGATAAAAAATCGTACGTTAAAAGTTTAAAGTTATAAAATAAGTTATCTTAAGTTAACGAAGTGGTCAGTGGATTCTTGAAAAATAATCTACTGTAAGAACAATAGACTGACGTCAGAGAAATGGGTTAAGTGGTGTATAAACAGTAATTGTTGTATTCATATAATTGGTTTTAGAAATAAATTGACAATTTTCATATTAAATTGTTTTGAATATTGAATCATGTCGATAACTGAAATATTTACCTAATAATATGCGGGACTCTGTAGTCATGACAGAGTCACTAATAATTGTTGTTTTATCTGTTCCATTTAATTTACATCTGTCGATTGATCCAATTTCATTATCCATATAATAAATAAAGCTAAAAATTGGAAAATCGGGAAACAATGAAATGATTTGCTAAATGTCATATACACCTTTTTCTCAATCAACATAGTTTTTGTTAGTTGATTGTAAAACATGATGATTTATTGCATGTTTGTAAACTGGAATGAAACTATGTACTTTTTCCGACGCGAAACAGAACTTAGGTAAGACTTTGCTACATTTTTCCACAGAAAGCAATTTGAGTTTTAAAAACATTCTTACCGGTGAACTTATAGTACGCATATAATTTCTAAAGAAGTCATGATGAAAAAATATTGATTTGGGAAAACTTCGAAACATAGAAGTATAGTAGTATTGTAAAGCATAATTACTGTAAAGTAGTTAAATTTCGCGTAGTTTAAAATTTGCGATTTCAGTCTTTGTAATATCAGTCTCCACTCTTCCACAATAAACATCAAAACATTGTAAAAAGCACCCTCTCCGAAGTATGAAATTTATCTTTCCTTCACTAAACATGAGAACGACAACCTACGAGAAAGCACCAGCAGCCGGGCTTAAATACCTATCCGTTCCACTCCAGGCTGTCCCAGATATTTATCAAGATGTTAATGGCTGCTCTGATCTTTTTCTGTGTTGGTTTAAGCACCTTTTCCGGTTAGGTCTGTATTTATAAATATTTTGTTTCGCGTTTGTGTGCTTTCTTATCATAATGTACTCCATATCTGCTTGTGTGAAGCTAAGGGAATGGAAATTATAAAATATTGACGTGAAGTATCGTTGATATCTCCCTATCTACTCCAAAATCAACCCATCAAAGATCTTACCAACTCAAAATATTGACAACTGGTACACAATTGTTCGAGCTTCATAAAAACTTTTTTAAAATTATTGCCGACCTGGTTTAAGATGGTTTTGACTAACTAAAAAGAATCGTACAAAAATAAAACAACTAACAATATATATTCAATTATGATTTTACAACAATTAATGACTCGCGATTCATAACATGCCGAACGCCACTACAAAACACCTCACAAATGAGGAGATGATGAGCCAATGAATTTTCGAATATACCGTTGAGATAGCGGCAGCAGAAATAGCTTACGATCTACAGTAAAATCTAAAGTATGCATGACAGGAGCACCCCCAAATCGTAATGGAATGGCCTTCATCCCATCCTTGAGTAGTTTCAGCAGCACAAGCGGCAGCAACAAAACCCGAAAAACCTGAAAATATCTAGACGTGTATGACTGCAGTAGCAAAGATGATTATATTCCATTCTGAAGCAGCAGCAACAGTAATGCATAAGTCATTCAGCAGCAGATACAACAAAAATGTCCTGTCTCTAAAGAATTTTATATGACATTATTTCAGGTTGAGGACTTCGCAAAGGGATAACATAACGAATGTTCCTGCTGAATTCTCTTTAAAACCACCTCTTTACTTCTTGCATTTTACCTTCATTATAATGGTCAAAAGCAAAATTTTCAGAAAATAAGATAGTTTGGTCTATAAACTACAAATGTCACATTGACTTCCAGAATTATAATGATACATGTATGAGCAACATTACGGGTAAAACATGTGGAGTAGAATCTATCTGTTTTACCTTCCGGAGCACCTGAGATCACCCCTCGATTTTGTTTGAGTTTGTGTTTCTCAGTATTTAGTTTTTATGCTATGTTTCGTAGAATGATATGTATCTTCATTACTTTGGCAGTTCCTTCTCGACTGACCAATGTCATTAAATATCTTCTGCATCTTTATAATAGTACAAGTTTTGTTTAAAGAACTACAAATATATTTCGCTACCGAACCACGTGTTTGCAGGTAACCAATACAACTAATTTGGAAATAATCACTGCAAACAGTGCGTACTAACTTAACTTTAACATTTTCATAAAGAGACAAAATTTAAGTTAATTCAAGTTAAAAGTTTCGTGTTAACAACTTGAAAGTGTAATGCAAAATGTGTTGCTAATTTAAAAATAATGTTCTTACTTATTTTTAACATCTAAAGCAATATGTCCTATTTTAGCGCTGCTGTTTATTATAACCAATTCATTTGACCCATCAAGCTCTGAGCGGAAGACTGCATTATAGTCACGATCGGACCAGTAAATGTGATCATTGTCGGAGTCTATAGCAACGCTATGTGCATGGTAATTTGGCGATTTTGGAATAATAACTTCAATCTTCCTTTCATTATCGTAGCATGGATAGCAAGTTCTGCAAATAAGATCAATACACATGTTATTATTACAACTTTAGTGATATAACATTTTTCCTGTAGATGATACAGGAACTGATTAGTCATTTTGCAAAACATTTTATGTATTTGCATAATGTTGCATTTTCTAACTACAAAAGACACCACAGCATCTTGTTTCTTAATTTTTTCAAATTGTTGTCTTGCCTGAAATTCTACGTCGGTCCCTAAGTCAGTTAGTTACGAGGGTTCATTTTGTACTTAACAATATGTTACTGTTATTTTATTTTGAAAGACAATAAAACCTACAAAACAACAGAATTGGTGCATTTAAAATCAATTACCAGAATGTAACTTATCGATTAGCATTAATTGTTTACCTGTGTATAGTACCATAATAAGAATCTACCCAATAGATATAGGATTTTTCATGATGATAATCTAATTCAGGTCTGTACATGCCACCCTGCGTGTCAACTACAAGCTTTGTTACTGAGCTGTCATTCAAATTTATCAAATATATTCTGTTCGAGTCTGCAACTAGTAAATTTGGACCTGAAAAATATTGTATATATTATTGCTCTTAGAACTTAGACAAATAAACCTAAATTGATATAATGATTTTTTCCAAATATCGAAAACCAGTGCCATTGTATTACCACTTATAAGAGGGTTTTCTTTATTAAAAGTTTCTAAATTTGAAATAGTATTTTATCCTATCACTAAAAATATTAATTGAGTGCTTTTTTCGTGTAAAAGACTTGGTTCTCTGTTTTGAACAGTATAAAATTAAAATAGAGAATGGAAATGGGGAATATGTCAAAGAGACAACAACCCGACCAAAGAGCAGAAAACAGCGGAGTCCACCAATGGGTCTTCAACACAACAAGAAAATCCCGCACCCGGAGGCGGGCTTCAACTGGCCCCTAAATAAAAATGTGTACTTGTTCAGTGAAAATGAACGTCATACTAAACTCCAAAACATATAAATGAACAAAATTTAAAAAAAAACAAACAAGACTAACAAAGGCCAGAGGCTCCTGACTTGGGGCAGGCGCAAAAATGCAGCGGGTTAAACATGTTTTGTGAGATCTCAACCCTCCCCTATACGTTTAGCCAATATAGAATAAACAAACACACAGCAAAACGCACAGTAAAACTCAGTTTAAAAGAAGTTCGAGTCCGATGTCAGAATAGGTGTTAAAAGAAACTAGACAAAATGACAATGATACATAAATTAACAAAGGACTACTAGCAGTTACTGACATACAAGCTCCAGACCTCAATTCAACTGATTGAAAGATTATGTCTTCATCATCGATCATATGAAAATCAAGCACAATCCCTCCCGTTAGCGGTTTAGTATCATACCATCATAAAATATATGAGAAGAACATAACCCGTATCATGCCAATAACTGGTTTTAGAACAAATGTGTTTATTTCCGATGCAAAGACCCTATGAGTGAATCAATATTAATACCAAAATATACCTTCTGAATAAGTCTGTTTACAGGTTTGATTAGCTTTGGGGTGAATGCCGACATTTTTGTGCTTTGTAAAGAATATTACCATAAAAGATTGGATGTAAAATACCTGAACGTTTAAGATGTCTGCATGTTGATTTATATTTATGAATAATGTCCTTGTACCGGTGATAAAATTAAGTAAATGTTTTGACAAGTTTGTGATATCGAAAACCCTGGTGAAATAATTTTTCAGTAATACAGAGATTTCTTTCATTAAAATCAAATACGTTGTTACATACACGAGCGAATCGAACAAGTTGAGATATATAAACACCATACGATGGTGACAAGGGAACGTCACCATCTAAAAATGGATAATTAACAATAGGACATGAACAATCATAAATTTTGGTATTAAATTTCCCGTTGAAGATATAGACATCAAGATCCAGGAAAGGACAGTGTTCATTGTTGGTGTTAGCTTCATTTAAAGTAATTTGTATCTACCCCCTCAAGTATTTTCAGGGATAGAACACTATTTGATAACACATAAATCGCTCTCGGGTCTGTAAACGTCAATAAAAATATCATGGTAACAATTCATAATACATGTTCATGTATTTGAAATACAAATCCTTCTGCAAACATTTGCTCAATTTGTTTTTGTTTTTAAATATAAGACGTTTTGTGCAAAGCTGTAAGTAAGCGACAATATTTGCTTGACATATTTAACATCATGAAAAGCACAACTGAGTTTTATTGGTCAATATGTAAGCAATAACATGTGTCTTCGCCTCTAATATAATTTACAAATCATATATAGCCACACCTTACTCTTTAGATTAATTATGTAATCAAACAAAGCTACGCTTTTCGTGCAGTATACAATTACGTTCATTCGTAAAAGGCGTTCTTTAAATATAACTTGTACATCAGAATTATGCATTTAATCTTTTATATATTAATATTTTTAAAATCATAAAATTTATAAATTTTAATAAAATAAACAAAACAACAATAAGGAAGTATAGAAATAACGTAAGACATCCCAGTATACTTAATACTTATCCTAATGTTATGGTTTTTAAATGATGATTATCGTCATTGAATAAATAAAACTTATTCAGGTATAACATAAGTGTATTGATTGTATATTGTGATTACTTATACAGGAGGCAAATAGATTTTGCTTTAAATTAAAAGAATTTTAAAATCACGTTTGTAAAAGATATCTTTTTCTATTTTTTGTTTTTACATCCTACATCTCCTTTCATTTATACTTATAATTGTGATCACTGTTCTTATTACCATTACGGTTGATACGTAGATGAATCCGTCTATTGACTTCACCAATACCGCGTTATTCATAATTATTCACACTGGTTTGCCCTTTACATGCGGGGCAGTGATGAACACAGAGTTTATATTGATAAGGAAAACACATACGGCAATTTGATCAAAATGTGCCTTTTCAACCGTGTATCCAACATGTTAAGTTTTTAATGCGCTGTAAATTTATAGAAGTCTTGTGTTGATAAATGTCTTTCCACAACTATTTTATTCACCTGAGCTTATCAGAGTGCGATGTACAATAACCAATTACAAACTGGACGAACAACTATTTTCTGGCAAAACTGTCTTTTACCCAGGGCAACAGGTACATGTAAGGTTAAAGGTAAATAACACAAAGATTCAGAAGCCAGTTTATAAATGATTTGATAGCCAGCTAATATTAAAATCACTGAAATTCAATCCGTTGAATACATGCAATTCGCTGTCAAAGTAAATCACGTTAACATTATTATCAAAGATTTCCTTCTCGCCAGTCGGTCCAATCCAATCAACTCTCCAATTTCAGAAGACAATTATGTTAGAAAAATTTAAACAAAAAACTTGTGTACTTATGCTCCTTATTTAGACCCAAACGAAAGCGGATGCTACATTTGTACATCAAGTTTGGCATTTTTAGGATGTACTTAGGGGAAATTTAAAAAAATTAGAATTTACATTTACAAGTCAGAAGAGCATTCGTTAAGGAACAAGATTAAACTAAAAATATTGATAGGTTATGAAGCTCCTTTTCGAGATATTTAATTTCCAAAAACTGGCGGGAAAAGGCTCACTTGGACTTTTACCTTATATTTGCAATGGTTTTATTTTGGTTTTAAATCAAAAGATAAGAAACCTTGAATCTGCATAAATTTTGATAAATTAACTTTTTTAAGCTATTAAAGTCTTATATGATATGACTTTAATGGCTGTTATGGGGCAAAATATTTTACCATGTATCGTAGAAAAAAGACCAAGGAGTCCGAACATCTGAAAAAAATTCCTAAACCTGACCTAAGTGCGTAATGCATGCTTTGCTGGTCGTACAATTGTAAGGTTATTTCCAGTAGTAAGTGTCAAAGAAAATAATTAACATTACTGTAAACATGAATATATGGCCGAGTGAATAATTCTCGTTCTCAATTAACAAGAATAACAAGAATTTGCTAGCTGACTGGAACTCCATCTTCGCTAGCCAAGGGTTACGATCCACTTCCCTCCTCTCCACCCTTGGCGGATTGAGATAGAATTTCGGAGACACAAGGTAATGCTTTTCATTGGTTGCAGTCGTAACTGGCTGCATCTAATCAAAAAGCGCCTATAACATGATCACGTGTAAATATGGGAAATGTAGGTAAACAATTACCACGTGCTGATTGTGCAACAAGTCTTTACATCCCAAAACATACGATGATATTTAGTGACAATTTAAATGTTTTTAATCATCTAATAGAATATTCTGTTATGTTTCTTGCACAAATGTATGAATGTCAACGTATATTTTCGTTTCCGACTTCACCAAGTTTGTAGACTCTAGACGCTACCGTGTTTTCACTTCCAAACTGAAGAGTTTAAGTGCTACCATTGGTCAAGAATAATGTATTCGAAATTCGAAATGGGCGTGACTTTAATCTACCGAAAGATGGCGCAACATTGTTCTCACAAATGTTGGCTTAATCTGCCAAGGGTGGAGAGGAGGGAAATGGATCGTAACCTTTGATTAGCGAAGATGCTGGAACTCAATTTGATATTTACCAGGCGTCCGTCTGTATGTGTATATCATAAGGATATCTTATATTAAGTTCTCAATATCAGTAAGAAAATAACTGATAAGAAGGATAAGAAAAACCAATTATACAAACATTAATGACGGTATGATTGGTTTAACGCCGTGTTTATCCGTGGGGGGTGGGGGTCAGTAGCAAATATATATATATATATATATTTTATAGTATACTACATGTAGTGCATCCAGAAGAGAAAACTAGTTTTAACAACTTCCTCGTGCACTTTACCATGTCGAAGGAAGCTGTCATGTTGAAGAGCATACAATTTCCAGATGCTTCATATTGTGAAGACATTGTCCTCAATAAGAGTCGGAAAAAATCAATAAAATAAAAAATCAATATACCAGATAGTCCAAAATCGTTTACTTTTGTTCATCATTTGCATTACGGCATTACCCTTTTGATGGAGATTGTCATGTTCTAAAGTATACGCTTTTCCGCAAATGTGTATATCTGATTATCAAAAAGTATCGTGAATATAATAAGGGGTTCGTCCTCTTTCACACGTAATATATTATCGTCAAAAACCAAATTCCTTGATGGAACTGTACGGAAGCCGCGGTTAGTGTCAGGTTGTACTTTTATTTTTAAGTCGTTCTAACAACTTAGATAACTCTCTATAACGACTTATCTAACTCGTTATAACGACTTAGCTTATCTTACTCGTTATAACGACTTAGCTTATCTTACTCGTTATAACGACTTAGTAACTCGTTATAACAACTTAACTTGGTTAACAATTATAGGTCGAAGTACGGCCTTCAACACGGACCCTTGGCTTACACTGAACAAAAGGCTATAGAGGGCCCAAAAATGACTAGTGTAAAACAATTAAAACAGGAAAATCAATGGGCTAATCTATATAAAAAACGAGAAACACCTTTGAACCACACCAACAAAAGACAATCACGGAACAACAGGCTCCCGACTTTGACAGGTGCATAAAAATGCAGCGGGTTTAAAGGTTTTAACAGGCACCAACCTTCACCCTAACCTGAGACAGTAGTGTAACATTACAAAATAAAAAGGACACACTTCATTTCTAATTAATGAGCACTTAGTCGAAATTTAGAAAACTATAAATAAAAATATAATCGAAAATAAATCACGACCAAGATATTAGGGGGTTTGTTAAGTCCTGAAATTAGGAAAGTAGCTAAGTCGTTATAAAAAGTAAGCTAAGTAATATGGTATTTGAAAATTATTATTTTTGGTACTCTGATAGCTAGGTCATTATAACGAGTTAGCTAAGTTGTTATAACGTGTTAAAAAGTCGGTATAACGAGTTAGATAAGCTAAGTCGTTATAACAAGTTAGCTAAGTCGTTATAACAAGTTACCCAAGTCGGTTTAACAAGTCATCTAAGTCGTTATAACAAGTTATAGCTAAGTCGTTATAACATGTTAGCAAAGTCGTTATAACAAGTTAGCTAAGTTGTAATTGAGTTTTAAAAAAAAACTTCAACCTGATACTAACCGATTTTCTTAGAATTGGAAGGGTCAAGCGTAATTTATGAATGAACAAAGTTTTGTGTAAGAGATAACAACTAAAAAACATGGGCATGCTTTCTTCGTCAACAATTTAAAACAGTATTTATGGAACCATTTGTGCACTGATCGTGTTTGAGGCTAATAAACTTGCATCTCGTGTCTTCTCTTGTCTTGAATAAATAAAAAAATGAAAAACTGAGGATGTATACAAAACATACAATTGCAATGTAAATAAATTAATATTCTAGATGAAAGAATATTTTTATCTTTAGTTACATGTCAGAATTAAATTATGATTTAACAAAACATAAAGATATATAATATTAGCATAACTATCTTTCTCAAACTTCTAATTTTGTACATAAGAAATTATGCATTTCTTTTTTAATTGTTTCGGAATAGTACTCGTAGAATAGTGCATTTTTTAAGTTATTATCATTTTGTTTACATTCCTAGATACATTTAGATAAAATAAACAAAACAACTTACATCAGGAAGTACAGTTCAGGGGCGTAGCACTGTAACAGTTATTGGTACGGTGGAATCATATGCGCACAAACCTTCCACAAAGAACTGATATTTGTGTCTTGGAAAACTGCTTTCACTATAGCTTTCAATAACTGAGAGTTCTCTAATATCGGAACTTTGTGTATTTTGTCTTTTAGTTATTTTTTTTTTTTGTAATTCGTGTCGATTTGATAAGTCAAGACTTTCCAAATGAATTTCAAAGTTTGTTCTTATGTTGTGCTGTCACATTTACACTACTGTCCTAGGTAAGGGGAGGGTTGAGCGCACGCAAACATGTTTAACCCCACCACATTCTACATGTGCTATATGTCCACTAATCAGGCGCAGTAATTCAGCGAATGTGATAGTTAAAGTCAGTCATATTTGTTTTTCGTTTATTGTTTTATCAAAATGATGTCGTTGGTTTCAACGTTTAAATCTTGTCATGTCGGAACCTTTTATAACTAACAATACGGCATGGCTGTTGAGGGCACAGCGCTAACTTTTAGTTGCTTAAATCCACGCATTTCGCCTCAGTTGGATAGTTGTCTCATTGGGAGTAATATATAACATCTGTTTATGTTCATTTTGATAGGAGCAATTAGAATTGTGGTCCCCGTAATTGCAAAAATATAGTTATAGAAGAAGAAGAATCAATCTATTCAATTATGTTTTAATTTGGTTAATTTTGTCCGTCCTGTCTCAGTAAAGCTGATATTATCATACAGTGTTTTCTTTTTAATGTATATCATTATACTGATCATCATAGATGTATGTTATAAATGTAGTCAATAATGCAAATTTTTATCAAATTTTAAAAACAGAAACAATTTAGTTGCACTTAAATGTCAATTGCATCGCTATAAATGGTCATGTGCGGCAATTTTGATCAATTGATATCCGTGTACTATAAATGTATCTATGCAAGCAAACAGGATGTAGATCGATAATGACAAATTTCTAAAGAAATATTAATTTTTTCATCGTATGAAAAATGGTTTGTCGTGCTTTGAATTCAAAAACTTAGGTTGACAGACATCCGTGTACTTTATCTTTTAAAAATATACCTTGAGTGAATAAGAAACATATATAGCTACGTTGAAAACGTTGATGTACCTTGGTAGTATTATGGGGTATTGGTACGGAAATCCTGGTTACTTTTTTTGAAAACGATAAAAATCATCAACTGGTTTTGACGAATGACGATATGTTTATTCCTAAATAATAGTAACAGTTATATAATTTAGATACCTGACGAATCACGAAAACAAAATGATCAATTTGATGTTAAGGATAACCAAAACTTGAAATTTTATATAGTCCGTTTGACTTCTATAAATCTTCAGAAAATAATTATTAAAAATTCATTTTTACAAATAAACATTTTTTTTTTCTTGATGTATGTTAATGTATGATATATACGAACTCTGACTATGAATATCATAATTTTAGGCCAATAATCAAAAAAGTTACCCATTATGTCTCTATGTTACTCCTATTTTTTTATATAAGATACTTGATAAAAATGAATTTTTAAGAATTATTTTCTGACGATTTATAGAAGTCAAACGGACTATACCAGATGTGTTTGTATCGTTCGTTTAAAAAAAATCCAGAAAGACACGTATAAATTTCGATTAATCGTATAGTCTGGAAGCCTGAACATAACTTTAACTACCATCTGTGGTAAAATGTGGAAACATGGTTCTACTTTTGCTGTAACAAAAGATATTTCCATTTGTTTTGGTAAAATGGCATGCCGTACGCATGGAAAATATTTGTACGGCGACGGCCGTGTCTGCCATGCTGGCTGCTAAACCCCTGCAGGTACATTTTTTATACATGTAATACATATTAGTCTGTCTAAGTAAATGGGGTTAATCTCATTCAAGTTTAACAACAAATATATTTATGGTCAACTTTGATTACACATGCAGTTGGCAAGCATAATTAATTAAAAGTATCGTAAAATCACGTGTCTATGTGTACATTGAAAACATAATTTAGCTCATTTATTTCGTTGGATTGCTGATTCATTGACGTTCTTTTTATTCGATCTTATCTTCCACGAAACTGCAATGGTTATGATAATTATCACACAGAAAAGTGTCGGCAATTTCATCAACATTAAATATGCTCATATCTGTATCCAACTGGTCAGATAACTGCACAATGATTTAAAGAAGTTTTTTTGGTGAAAGGAAACAACTATTTTATTCACCTGAGCTTATAACAGTTCGCTGTTGAATGTATAGTTGGTTATTAGGGTGAACATCTTTTTTCTTGCAAAACAGTCTTTTACCAAAGCCAACATGTACAAAAATAAGATGTGGTATGCCAATGAGATAACTCTCCACAAGAGACCGAATGACACAGAAATTAACAACTATAGGTCACCGTACGGCCTTCAACAATGAGAAAAACTCATACCGCATGATCAGCTTTAAAAGGCCCCGAAATGACAAATGTAAAACTATTCAAACGAGAAAACTAACGACCTGATTTATGTACAAAATAATGAACGAAAAATGAATATGATAGATGTAGTTTGCAGAAAGGTTTAGGGGGAAAAGATTGAAAACCTTTATCCAGGAAGCCAGTTTATAAATGACTTTACAAACATATAATACCAATTACATTGTAGGCCAATCTTCTGCAGTTAATAATTAAAAGATTGCTCAATTGGTTGGTGCTTTCTCAACGTTTACAAATGTATAAAATTAGTATGTTTTGTAACTGAGTGGGTCGACGTAATGTAGAACGGGGAATTTTGAGTTGATGCCAATGAGACAACCAAATGACGCAGATGTTAGCAACTATGGGTCACCGTACGGCCTTCAATAACAAGAATCAATGCACCGACATGACAAAATAAAACGATTCAAATGAGAAAACCAACAATCCAAATTTATTTAAAAAAAGAAGAAATAAACGAAAAACAGATATGATATACAGCAACAAACGACAACCACTGAATTTTACATTTTACAGACTTCGAACTTGGAACAGGCACATGCAGAATGTGGTGGGGTTACATATGTCTGGTACAATTTTGCAGGATTGGGATAGAAATGTTGTCTTACGAAGGGTCACCGAAATATTCGTCTAAGAGTTATTGCATGGGTTCTTTAACATACGTTCAGAGAACATGATACACTCTCTCTTTATAAAGTGTTGTTTATATTTTTTAGATGTGATTTAACAGACAACAAACGAGCTGTATTTGCAATGCTTTTGCCATGACTCTTACTTAAAAAGATTAAAAACGCAGGAATCAAAAATTAATCGTTTCATCTAAAACCAAGAGGATATCACCAGGTCAATACATTATTGCACAGACGAATGCAAACAAGTTATAAAAACACTTTGAAACAAAGCAATTCAAAAAAAAAAAAGAAAAAAAAAGAAGAATAACAGATACGTTTAAAAGCAGCAACCATGTGTCCAAAGGACCAGTTTACAGATGACAAGCAACATATTTACTGAGCAAAATCTATTTTTTGCAGTTAAAAATGGCTAACTCAAAATAATCATAACATTAAAAGTTAATAAATTTTCCAGTTCTCGTGCTGAAACTAAGAAATTTAACATTCTTACCAGTCGATTGAGTTCCACAACAGGTATACTTATAAAAACAGCCACCGTGTGTCCAACAACACCCACTGACAGATGCCACGAACAAAATTGGCAAAACAAAAAGTATCTGAAATCCGTTCATAGTTCTTGTTATAAGAAGTCTGCACATCCGATCACAGGATATTCTTTCGCTCTCTGAGGTGGGAATTTTGTAATGAAAATGTCACGTGATTATCTCATACCCAATCATTATTACACATTAACACATTAAAACTAAAGTTTGGAAGGTTTTTAAATATAATCTAAATAATTCATTACACGTTTTGATATTCATTGTACACCACTTTGGTTTTAATGATGCAACTATTTTGTGTTGGTATTTCTATACTTTAACGATACTTCCGACTTGCTTTATTGATTTAAATTTTTGAAAAAATGTATTACACTTGGTTATTTTTAGAAGTCAGGCATATCAATTTTCCTACATGTCAGAATATTAACCAGAAATGTTAAAGTAAAAAACATTCAGGGTTTTTTTTTCAGCTACATATTCTCTTTGACAAAAAACTGACAGAAAAATATCACTAGTCTGTTTTTTCGAGGGGTACCAATCTGTTCTATCACCCTCTCAGCTATGTGCTTTTTAATTCATTATACTGAATGTCCTATCATTATTTTCTTTTGCTGTTCAATTTTAAATAAAAGTATTTTACAATGACGTCACGTACATAACAACGTTACATATATTAGAAAAATCTACAGAATTGAAGTAAGATGATTTTTTTTTATTTTGACAGTTTATGAAAAAGTTCAAACCCACAACGTAGAACTTGAGCATTGTATTCAATTATTTAATGTAAATTCAATTCATTGTCATTTAAATTATCGATTTGTGATTGGTCTGCACGAGAAGGTGACATTCAAAAAATGTCTCCCGCTCAGCCATTGGATAGAGTAAATTATCTTCCTCGTATTAGCCAATAAAAATCCGGCATTTTAACGTGAGGTATAAAAATAAATATTTTGACTCTTCTACAGTTTTCGAAACACCCTCCAGAGAATTATCTGTTCACTGATTGTTAACCGATTCTAATCCGTTGACCGACTCATTAGAACATGTAGAAGTACTTATTCCATTGGTCATTCATGATTAGTGTTACATCGGATGTTTCTTGCGTCTTGTTCAACCGAAAGATTTTTGTGCTAGTGAAAGTTTATTATAATTTTTCTTGTTATTTCATTTAAAAAAAAAAAATCTTTTTAAATGTACTTAATTAATGTTATCATTCCTTGGGTAATGTTTTATTCAGCGACCACATCTTTGTTACATGAACTGCCACCTAGTATAAAAGTATTCTCTGATCAAAGCGTCCTCCACGATCACAGCCTCCAGCGTAAGGTCAGCAAACATTTTTGAACAAAATTGCATCATAACTGAAAGAATGTGTTTTCAAGCTTAATGTCTGGTACCTGCCTAAAGTTTAATTTTCATGGTTAACCTGATAAGTTATGATAATTTCATAAAATTGTTGTGAACTGACTGTTTCTGTATTGATGATGGTGAAGATTCTCAACCGGCTTGTTTTTTAAACATTTTTTTTTTTCATTCAGCTTTAATAATGGAAAAATAGAATGGCAGGGTGGCGTTACATCAAAATAATTATAGACCAGATCCTAGGTTAACAGCTATCCTCACAATTAACTGTTGTTCTCAGTCTTCGGCTCCGTGCAACAGCTCAGTCTTCTGGTTAACAATGTAGCTACTGACCTCAAACCCAGCCAATAACTGCATAAGAACGTAAAACCGTAGTTTTGATAGTGACAAATGGTGTTTGGTTTATATAAAAGGGGAATTTATTTGGATCATTAAAATTCAATCGAATTCACAAGGTCGGAGTCGATTTTATCTAATGTGTGTCTACACATGTAAAGTTTGTTGGTACTTCTTAATGTTTTCCGCGTGATAATTTTGTTTATCTCATCTTTAAGGAATATCGTTTGTTAAAAGCAACCGTGTATATTTAATATAAGGTCAGTGGGCGTCAGTCAATTCCATATGGGACTCTTAGGGTTGCTCGCTCTCGTCCCATATGGAATTTACTGACCCCGTATATACCGCTGACAGATTAGGTCACTAACACACAGTGCAACTAATATCATGAAATACATTCATATCATATCGAAGTTTTCAGCGTGTTTGTCAGGAAAAGAAATATGTTTCGGGTATTACACATAATGGGGTCAGTTTAATCACATCCTCCAATGTTCCAAGTAAACATTGAAGGGGCATTAGTTGCTATATTTATGTTCAAATTTAATTAAACTTTCAAATTTGATTTTGTTTATATTAAAACGTAATTCAAGACTACAAAAGCTTTAAAGAAAACAATACACAATTTTTGACATTTTTACCTATTGTGTCTGTTTGTTTTGTTCACACATCGTTGTCAATATAATGGAATTTGATGCGACTGTCATACAAGTGAGAGGTTTAGCTAGCTATAAAACCAGGTTCAATCCACCATTTTCTACACAAGAAAATGCCTGTACCAAGTCAGGAATGTGGCAGTTGTTATCCATTCGTTTGATGTGTTTGAGCTCTTGATTTTGCCATTTGATTGGGGATTTTCTTTTTTAAATTTTCCTTGGAGTTTTAGGCAGTATTTTTGTGATTTTACTTTTTACGCAACGTCTTGAATCGTGTTTAAGTATCAATATTTCGTGTGTATACCTGACTAAACGACATCTTATCTGGAAAGGATTAACTATCTTTATAATTATACACTAATATAAACAAACAGGTTAACAAAACCATATAGCATGTTTATCATTGTCATAAAATTAATAATATTGAATAAAGTTAGTAGATTTGGCTAATAAAGTCTTTATAATTGAATAAAGTAACATTCATTTTCAGTGGGAGGTTGTTTCAACGTTAATGAAGCTCCAATTGCAATTGTTTGCTAGCCCTTCTTTGTGATTAACATGATTAATGTAAGATTACTCTGTGTAATTTTCCCATCATTTTAGCATTATGGTGAGATAATCTAATTTGGTTTTCATGTGTAGTCTTTTTCAAAAAAGTGCAAATGCTTTATGTAGGTTTCTATCATATTTTCTCACTAAATCATTTGACATAAATTTGAAGTTTGTGGAATACAGTGGTCGTTTTGTGGTTCTGTTTATGTGCTTGTGCGTATGTGTATCTTGTGTGTGTTTGTGTTTTGGATTTTTTTAGGGGGGTACACAGAATACATGTATTTGTCTTTAGGGAATCAAGTTATGCAAATTAAGCAAGACAATATGTCTGCTTCATTTGAATTCTGACATAAATATATACACCATATTAAAACAATAAAGTTATGCCTTTGCAAGTAGCAGGATCCATGCTGTTTGAGGTTAGATGATGCGGACAACAACTTAAAACAGTAGAATGACTACAGATGTCAAACGAAACATGTGTTATTTACCGAAAAATTAACCTTCCTATCAAAAGTAGACAGAACATGATATACATTTTAATGAATGGCCATAATACGGCTTTAGGTGTTAGCAATTTTAGGATGAAATTGAGGCAAACACACAATCGGAACTCTCACCTTTCGCACTAAAATGCTAGCGGTCGGTCATATGCTTTAATTTAACTAAATAATGATTATAAAATTATGAAAGGTGGTTTATATTTATATTAGTATATAATAATTTTTACGTACAAAACAAATAAATGAAATTTTAGATATACATAAATGTCTGTACTAAACAAATAATAAATACTAAAATCTTTTAAGTTTAAGAATTTTGTAATGATTTTTAAAAATTAAATCAAATAACTATACGTAAAGATGAAATTTTGAACCTGTTCAAGGGAGGCAATAAACGCATTGATTCATAGACTTTTTTGAATTGAAGCATATTAAAAAGGGATGTCACTCTTGCATACAAATGACACACCAAAAGAATAAATGAACACAACATTCGTGCTCAAGGTTCTATGAAGATTCTACATTATCAAAATAATAAACAATTATTAATCTATAAGATAGTGACTGCTAACAAATGCTCACCCACAGTAAAGTATATTTGTTTGAAATTTTTTTAACCTTTCTCAAAAAATTCCCGAACTACTTGACTTTCATAGTTCATAATTAACGTGTTTACACATTACTATAATATAGTCGTAAAACATTATTTGCTACTAACAGTATAAGACAGATTCCAGGGTGTAATTATGCTTGCATCAACTAACCCAAATACAAATTTAAATCAAGCCTGAACATTAACGGATAGAAAAAATAAACAATTTCAAAATCATTTTGACATTGTTTAGTTTTTTTTTATCCGTGTCAGATTTCTAATATTATCACAACTCCCTGTTAAGATTTGACTAAATACCCATATCCCAGGATCGTCAGGTACATGTAAAATCCCTAAAACATACAAATAGACAGACCGTGTAAGCACGTGCCGGTAACAGTATACGGTCGATGTTAAACCCGATAGTTAATAAGTTGCTAAAGTTTTCAATTAGCAATTCTCGAATGAAATATATTTTGCCGAATATACGTTATGAATTCGTAATGAATTTAAATTAACGTGCATAGAGGACTTATTTTAGTATATGTGTAAGCATTGGTTCAATAATGTCCTTCACGTTATATGTACAAGAAGCTCGTTTCATGTGACTTTAACAGAAACTAAATTTACTGAATCAATTCAATTCAAATTGTTTTATCTCTTTCAATTCATTTTTTTATCAGTTTAAATTATATTAAATCTAGTCAAGCTGATCTTCTGAGCATTTGTTATTCATTAATAAAAATTTGAGAAAAGTTCTAGAAAAATGTTCAGACTGGTAAGTAGATAATAAACTGTCATTACATCTAGGAAAAAAGATTAGGCAAAATATTAATTTTCAGGTCAAATGTAATGACCACCTTATCAAATCGACAAATTGTGTCAAATATTTAGGAGTTTACATTGATAATTTTTTAAATTGTGAACAAATAGTTTCCAATATCATAAAAAAGTTAATGCAAGATTAAAAGTATTATATAGAAATGCAAAATGTTTGGATACTAGATCAAGGATAACTCTCACATCAGCTCTGATGCAATGCATAGAAATCATAGAAGCATATCTATGCAGTCTCTGTTGTAAACACCTAACCTACGTCATTTTTGAAAGGAATAGGGGCTATAATGGCCTAAAAGACCCACAAAATAATAAAAATCTAAACCGAGCAGATGTGTCTCCATAAATTATTAGAATATGAGTCAATGATTTAAAAAAAAAAACTGATTTTATCGATCAAAAAAGTTTAATGACGTCACAATGGTAGGTGCA